GTACGTACAGATGTGTACACACAAATGCGTACGTACAGATGCGTATGTACAGATACGTACGTACAGATGTGTACGTACAGATGTGTACGTACAGATGCGTACACACAAATGTGTACGCATGGATGTGTACAGAGACACGGATCTCCCCTACCGACCCGTGTAGCCTTAACAGACTGTTGGGGCAAGTGCTGTTAGCGAGCACCTATGAAGGCCGGCACTGTGGCACACGAGGGGGTGGGTGGCCAGCACCACGCCCGGCCGCCTTTGTCTCCCCGGTGGCGATGTTTACTACACACCGCACCGGGTACCATTTGAGGCTGAGTCGACCTAGGGGAGAGGCCCAGGACCGGTTCAGATAATCGTCGCCGGTGTTGGCTGTGAGCGGGAATCGAACTCGGGTCGCCGGGTTCGTAGCGCAGCGTAGCGCTGATAGCTTGAGAACTACATGCTACGCACACGCGTGTACATGCATGTACTTGCACATACATGCGTGTGTATTCAGAGACCCACATCTATAGGCATCAATGCATAGTACATACACACACGTGTACGTACATGCATATCCATGCAGAGACTCACATCCATAGGCAGCAATACATAGCACATGCGCACGTGTACATGCATACAAAGATAAAGATCCCCCGTATAGCCTTAACAGACTGTAGGGGCAAGTGCTGTTAGCGAGCACCTATGAAGGCCGGAACGGTACACGAGGCATGCATACACACACATATGTACATGCATACGTATTTTTACGAGCATATAGAATGTATTAATATGCGTGCATTCAGATACTCACACTTATAAAATAGCCCATGCACACACACACACAGATATGTGCCTACATACATGCATATGTACATATACACACCGATATAATACACACACACAGACATTCAGATACTAACACCCACAATACAGCAATGCAGAGCAAATTCATACACACACGCGTACACACATATATACACAAAGACAAAGATCCCCCGTGTAGCCTATAACAGACTGTAGGGGCAAGTGCTTTTAGCGAGCAGCACCTATGAAGGCCGGCACGGCACACGAGGGGGTGGGTGGCCAGCACCACACCCGGCCGCCTTTGTCTCCCCAGTGGCGATGTTTACTACACACCGCACCCAGGTACTCATTTTGAGGCTGAGTCGACCTAGGGGAGGCCCAGGACCGGTTCAGATAATCGTCACCACCGGTGTTGGCCCGTGAGCGGGAATCGAACTCGGGTCGCCGGGTTCGTAGCGCAGCGTAGCGCTAACCACTGCGCCACCGCTCCCTACTATCATGCCCACTCACTCACTCACCCACTCACTTACTCACCCCCTCACTCACCCACTCACTCATTCACCCACTCACTCACTCACCCCCTCACTCACTCACTCACCCCCTCACTCACCCACTCACCCACTCACTCACCCACTCACCCACCCCCTCACTCACACACTCACTCACCCCCTCACTCACCCCCTCACTCACCCCCTCACTCACCCACTCACTCACCCACTCACTCATTCACCCACTCACTCACTCACCCCCTCACTCACTCACTCACCCCCTCACTCACCCACTCACTCACCCACTCACTCACTCACCCCCTCACTCACTCACTCACCCACTCACTCACCCACTCACCCACCCCCTCACTCACACACTCACTCACCCCCTCACTCACCCCCTCACTCACCCCCTCACTCACCCACTCACTCACCCACTCACTCACCCACTCACCCACTCACTCACTCCCTTACTCACTCACTCTGCACGGTGTGTACACGTTCCTACATGCACACTCACCCACTCTCTCACCCACTCACCCACTCACCTACTCACTCACTCACCCACTCACCCCCTCACTCACCCACTCACCCCCTCACTCACCCACTCACTCACTCACTCACCCACTCACTCACTCACCCACTCACCCACTCACTCACCCACTCACCCCCTCACTCACTCACCCACTCACCCACTCACTCACCCACTCACCCCCTCACTCACCCACTCACTCACCCACTCACCCACTCACTCACTCCCTTACTCACTCACGCTGCACGGTGTGTGCACGTTGCTACACGCACACATACGCACATGAACTCATGTATGTTAAACTTCTTTAGCACCGTACGTAGCCAACCGTACTGATCGTCAGTAACGGTGCGTGGCCTTAAAAAGTGGGGAAACGTAACAGGCGACGTTTCGGTTAAAGCCCCTAGTTCATGGCGCGTTTTCGTTGTTGTATGAGCCAAGTGGTGGAAATTCCACATTTCCATGGTGGGGGCCAGGCTTTCCATAGCACAAATCGCGAGTGACTTCGATTTCTTTACACAGAGTGGTTCTAGTTTTCTCATCATCATCGTCATCATCCAGCAACCACCATCATCAACTATCATCAATGTATCAACATTTGCAAAAGCGTAGAACGTGTAACTGCAGTGGCCACCCAATTGTGATGTGCGAGATGAGGATGGTGGCGGTGGTGGTGGTGATGGAGGTGGTGGTGGTGGTGGTGGTGGTGGTGGTGATGGTGGTGGTGGTGGTGATGGTGGTGATGATGGTGGTGGTGGTGGTGGTGATGGTGGTGGTGATGGTGGTGATAGAGGTGATGGTGGTGGTGATGGTGGTGGTGATGGTAATGATGGTGGTGATGGAGGTGATGGGGGTGGTGATGGAGGTGGTAATGGAGGTGATGGTGGTGGTGATGGTGATGGAGGTGGTGATGGTGATGGAGGTGATGGTGGTGATGGTGGTGGTGATGGTGATGGAGGTGATGGTGGTGATAGAGGTGATGGTGGTGGTGATGGTGGTGGTGATGGTGGTGATGGTAATGATGGTGGTGGTAGTGGTGATGGTGGTGATGGTGATGGAGGTGATGGTGGTGATGGTGGTGGGTGATGGAGGTGGTGATGGTGGTGGTGGCGGGTGATGGAGGTGGTGGTGATGGAGGTGATGGTGGTAATGGTGGTGATGGTGGTGATGGAGGTGGTGGTGGTGGTGGTGGTGGTGATGGAGTTGATGGGTGATGGTGGTGGTGGTGGTTGTGATAGAGGTGATGGTGGTGGAGGTGATGGTGGTGGTGATGGTTGTGATAGAGGTGATGGTGATGGAGGTGATGGTGGTGGTGATGGAGGTGGTGATGGGAGTGATGGTAGTTGATGATGGGCGATGTAAGTTATCGATGATGATGATATTGGTGATGTGAGTTATGGGGTGATGTGAGTGGTGGTTAGTGGTTTGGTGATGGTGATGATTGCGGTGGTGTGGATGGGTGATGATGGTTGATGGATGTTGATGTCGGTGATGGGGGTTATGTGGCTGATGGTGATGGTGGTGATGATGGTGGTGATGTGGGGAGCGGTGGTGCAGCGGTTAGCGCTACGCTGTGCTACGAACCCGGTGACCCGAGTTCGATTCCCGCTCACGGCCAACACCAGTGACGATTATCTGAACCGGTCCTGTGCCTCCCCTAGGTCGACTCAGCCTCAAATGAGTAACCTGGTATGGTGTGTAGTAAACATCGTCACTGGGGAGACAAAGGCGGCCGGGCGTGGTGCTGGCCACCCACCCCCTCGTGTGCCACAGTGCCGGCCTTCATAGGTTCTGCTCACTAACAGCACTTGCCCCTACAGCCTGTTAAGGCTACACGGGGGATCTTTGCCTTTGATGATGGTGATTTCGATTTAAAGCTTTCGTGACTGCAGGGATTCATCTTCTTGGTTCTTTCGGTAAAGTCACGTAGAAGGGAAATAATAAAATAATAAAAAATAAAACATAATGAAATAATTCTCACGACGTTTCGGCCACAACGCAAGCAACCTGAAGACGGCTGCTTGCGTTGTGGCCGAAACGTCGTGAGAATTATTTTATTGTTTTATTTTATTTTATTTTTCCTTCTACGTGACTTTACCGAAAGAACCAAGAAGATCAAAATAAATACATTTACAAACAGAAATTTAAAAATCTTCCCCCCACTCTCACCACCCCCTTTAAAGGACTTGAAATGCAATCGGGCAGATGTTGAGCATCCCGCTAACATTTGCCATTTCACAGATCGAGAGGTGGACTACAGGCGAGGGGTGGACTAAATCGGTCATCGCTAAAGGGTGGACTAACCGAGCGGATGGAGTCATGGGTGTTGGGGCTCACACCGTTGACACCAGCGTGGAAAATGAAGCGAACGTGTGGCAAGGGTGGACTATCGCCGAGCCGAGCTCTCGGAGGGACGCGCCGTCGGTGCGGTGAAAGGTCGAGCGTTTGAGCGACGGAGGTGGACTTTCGGAAGGTGGACTGCGCAAAAAGAGGCCGTCGAAATGTCGTGAGCGGTCAGACGGGCGGATTTGTACAAACACTGGGCGACTTTTAAGAAGGTTTGCTGTCGACAGGGGTGGAGTTGCCGGTGATGTAGACAATTGTCGGTGGCAGTTGAGAAAAGTGCTGCAACGGTCCGAATGGTGGACTATCACTGCGGGTCCAGCGTTCGGAAAGGTGGACGACTTCGCTGAGGCTGCACTCACCCCCGTGAGCGCTGGGGGAGGGGGGAGGAAACAAGGTGGACAAGCACGCGGGTGGTGTCAACGTCGGTGGACATTCAGATGGTCGGTAATTGATTGAAAGGTGGACAATGGAAGTGATGTTCAATTAAATGCACCGTGGGCCAGGAAAGTTCGGGCGATGGGGTGGACAATCGGTTGAGGTGGCCTGCAAAAGGTGGACTCACTGTGGATTGTAAATGATCAGAAGGTGGACTCCGTAGGGTCGTCTGCCACCACAAGGTGAACGACCCCCATGAGACTGACGAATCGGTGGACATTTGAGGTGTAAAATAATGACATGAAGTTGAACCGTCGGTGATTTCAATGACAAAAGTTGGACTCGCTGTGGATTGCGAATGACCAGAAGGTGGACTTAAGATGGATTACCGCCCCGGTCAACAACCGGGTGGACTCCCGATCTGGACGTGAGTTTCCACGGAAGGAGCGACTCCCCGGAGGCCGACTATGAAGGTGAGAGGTGGACTATCCCACGGCCCCGTGGAGTTTTTGTAGCTGCCTCCGAAAGGTCGACTTCGGTTGACCGCTCTCTCGGTCGCCTTCGTGAGCGAGCGAGCGGGCGGGCGAGCGGGCGGGTGAGCGGGCGATCTGTCGTAGGCGGAAGAGGATTTGAAGCTTTCGTGACTGCAGGTCAGAGGTCGCAACCGGGTACCCGATACCCGTACCCTACCCGATACCCGGCTACCCGTACCATACCCGGCTACCCGTACCCTACCCGATACCCGATACCCTACCTGATACCCGTACCCTACCCGATACCCGGCTACCCGTACCCTACCCGATACCCGATACCCTCCCCGATACCCGTACCCTACCCTACCCGATACCCGTACCCTACCCGATACCCGATACCCTACCCGATACCCGTACCCTACCCTACCCGATACCCGTACCCTACCCGATACCCGGCTACCCTACCCTACCCGATACCCGGCTACCCGTTTGCGACCCTGGCGCCAACTCGCTGCGCTTTAGCCGCCCGACGCTCCGCTCGTTGTTGTGAGCGTCGCTCCTCCGCCCTCCGTTGTTGTTGGAGGGCGACTGCCTCCAACTGCCCAGTAGCCTCCTCAAGGTGCACCTAGCCTGGCACCGCCCAGTAGCCTCCTCAAGGTGAACGTAGCCTGGCACCGCCCAGTAGCAGCAGCGTCCTTCACGAGCCTCCTCCTCCACAGAGGCCGATCTTGACACCGCTGGAACCGCTCATCCTTATGCATTGTAGGAATTGTGATAGCCACTCGTGAGTCGTTTGCTGATGAACTCCGCAACGCGAATGGGCACGGCAATTTAAAATCGTAACGCGGTTCGTCACCGGGAGAGAGACTGGAAATCGGCATCGTCTACACGTGGAACGATTTTGGGTTGAGTGGATTTGCTCCGCGAAATATTTGTCGCGATGACATCATTATTGTGGTGAGCGTCAATGATGAAAAGGTCACTTGGTAAAGATGTTACACTCCGTTAGAGTCTATGGGTCGCTGTGTGAGTCTGTGGGTCGCTGTGTGAGTCTATGGGTCTCTGTGTGAGTCTATTAGTCTCTATGTGAGTCTGTGGGTCTCTATGTGAGTCTATGGGTCTCTGTGTGAGTCTGTGGGTCTCTGTGTAAGTCTATGTGCCTCTGTGTGAGTCTATGGGTCTCTGTGCGAGTCTATGGATCTTCGTGAGTCTTTGGGTCTCTGTGAGTTGTTGGGTCTCTATGTGAGTCTACGGGTCTCTGTGTGAGTCTACGGGTCTCTGCATGAGTCTGTCTCTGTGTGAGTCTATGTGTCTCTGTGTGAGTCTATGGCTCTCTGTGTCAGTCTATGGGTCAATGTGTGAGTCTGTGGGTCTCTGTGTGAGTCTGTGGGTCTCTGTGTGAGTCTATGGGTCTTTGTATGAGTCTATGGCTCTCCGTGTGAGTCTGTGGGTCTCTATGTGAGTCTATGGGTCTCTGTGTGAGTCTGTGGGTCTCTATGTGAGTCTATGGGTCTCTATGTGAGTCTGTGGGTCTCTATGTGAGTCTATGGGTCTCTGTGTGAGTCTGTGGGTCTCTATGTGAGTCTATGAGTCTCTATGTGAGTCTGTGGGTCTCTGTGTGAGTCTATGGGTCTCTGTGTGAGTCTATAGGTCTCAATGTAAGTCTATGGGTCTCTGTGTGAGTCTATGGGTCTCTGTGTGAGTCTATGGGTCTCAATGTGAGTCTATGGGTCTCTGTGTGAGTCTATGGGTCTCTGTGAGTTCATATGTCTCTGTGTGAGTATATGGCTCTCTGTGTGAGTCTATGGGTCTCTGTGTGAGTCTATGTCTCTCTGTGTGAGTCTATGGGTCTCTGTGTGAGTCTATGTCTCTCTGTGTGAGTCTATGGGTCTCTGTGTGAGTCTATGTCTCTCTGTGTGAGTCTATGGGTCTCTATGTGAGTCTATGGGTCTCTGTGTGAGTCTATGGGTCTATGTGTGAGTCTATGGATCTCTCTGTGAGTCTATGGGTCTCTGTGTGAGTCTATGGGTCTCTGTGTGAGTCTATGTCTCTCTGTGTGAAGTCTATGGGTCTCTGTGTGAGTCTATGGGTCTCTATGTGAGTCTATGTCTCTCTGTGCGAGTCTGTGGGTCTTTGTGCGAGTCTATGGGTCTCTGTGTGAGTCTGTGGGTCTCTATGTAAGTCTATGGGTCTCTATGTGAGTCTGTGGGTCTCTGTGTGAGTCTATGGGTCTCTGTGTGAGTCTATGGGTCTCTGTGTGAGTCTATGGGTCTCTGTGTGAGTCTATGGGTCTTTGTGTGAGGAGTCTATGGGTCTCTGTGTGAGTCTATGGCTCTCTGTGTGAGTCTATGGGTCTCTATGTGAGTCTGTGGGCCTTTGTGTGAGTCTATGTGTCTCTATGTGAGTCTGTGGGTCTCTATGTGGCATCTGTGGGTCCCTGTACGAGCGTCCATGACCTCCACGATTTAGCGGGGCATGCGGGCGAACGTCTGAATACAATAGAGTTACTCGCTTTATCGACCCACTTGTTGATTGTTGAGACAGACCGTGGGGGTGATGACGACTTGGGAGACCGCGTGTGTGATGTTAATGCTACTTAATTGCCCTAATTGGCTGCTGCTGCCATTGCTACAAAACTGCGGGGTGTAATAAACGGCGATTGTTGAGTGTGGTGGTGTTCACGCTACAACGCGGGAACAGGACTCCTCGTTATAATGCGGAACACGTTATAACGGTCAATGTGAGTCTATGGGTCTCTGTGTGAGTCTATGGGTCTCTGTGTGAGTCTATGGGTCTCTATGCGAGTCTATGCGTCTCTGTGTGAGTCCTTGGGTCTCATCCGCCAGCAGTGGTGTGAGCAGGAAATTGCAGGGGCTGCGCTTAACCCTTCACGCAGCAATTCAACGTTCACCAATTAAACACATTGCGAATTGAATATTTAAAAAGCACAAACACGTTTAGACATTAAATATGTAAGAACTATGCTACGCGTGTACAAACGCGTACTCAGATTAAAAATGTTGATTTAAAGCTTTCGTGACTGCAGGGATTCATCTTCTTGGTTCTTTCGGTAAAGTCACGTAGAAGGGAAATAATAAAATAATAAAAACAAAACATAATAAAAATAATTCTCACGACGTTTCGGCCACAACGCCAGCAGCCGTCCTCAGGTGAAGAACAGGTCTGTCGAGAAGACAGAGTCTGAATGAATGTCTTCTCGACAGACCTGTTCTCCACCTGAAGACGGCTGCTTGCGTTGTGGCCGAAACGTCGTGAGAATTGTATTTTATTATGGTTTATTTTTATTATTTTATTATTTCCCTTCTACGTGACTTCACCGAAAGAACCAAGAAGACAGATTAAAAATGTCAAGCGCCTTTGTATGCCCGCCACTGGCGTTTAGACACCACCCCGGGCTCATTGCGAACGAGTAGCCATTCGCGTCTTTAAGGCTGAGCCGACCTAGGGGAGATCGAGGGCGCGGCTCAGATAGTCGCCGCGCTAACCGCAGCGCCACCGCTCCCCGCGTCACACAAAGA